ATTTTCCCCATTGTATCCACCATTGGTTATTGGTAGTGTTTTGTAAAGCTTTTGAATTATGTCAATTTATCTTTTATATTATGCTACTATTAAGTAATAATATTATTTTTATTGCTGACATTTGTTACATGTTTACCATGTGCAATGTATTTAAGTGCTTTAAATAGATCATTTCATTTAGTCTTCATGACAAACCGGTGAGTTTAGTAGTATTATCATCCCCTTTCTGTAGATACGGAATCTGAGGCTTAGAAGGTAATCTCCCAAGGTTATTAATCTTATTGGTGGAGAAGCTGTAATTTAAACCAGTGTGATTAACATCAGTATTATATATATATTTATTATGGAATTTATATTATATAATATATATTTTATATATTTTTTATTTTTTATTTTTATTTTTTTTTGAGACAGGGTCTCACTTTGTTACCCAGACCAGAGTACAGTATTGTGATCATGGCTCACTGCAACCTCGATCTCCTGGGCTCAGATGATCCTCCCACCTCAGCCTCCAGAGTAACTGGGACTAGAGGCACACACCACCACTCCCAGCTAATTTTTTTGCATTTTTTGTAGAGACAGGGTTTTGCCATAATCTCTGGACTCAAGAAATTCTCCTGCCTTGGCCTCCCAAAGTGCTGGGATTACACATGTGAATGCCCAGTCTCTATTATATTTAATTCTCCTATCGCTTATTGGAGTTTTTCAATTGACTTTCTTGGGTGTAGGTATTTAATCACATTGGCCACAAGTAACTTTATTTTTATATCTTTCCATACAATAATTACTGCTCTTATTTCAGCTTCATGTCTTATTGCATTGGCCGAAGATAGTGGAACAGCGTTAATGAATGAAACAATGAAAGTGGACATCCTTGTTTTGTTAACGACTTAATGGAAAACTGTTATTGTTGATTTAAATTTATAAAGCGTTGTTAAGGAAGTATCCATCCATTCCTAGTTTCTGAGTTTTTAAAAAATCAGGAACAGATGTTGAATTTTATGAAATGTCATTTTGGCATCTATTAAATTTATTATATGGACACCAATGGTTCTGATCCAGATTCATAATTGAGAAAGGAAAGTAACTATAAATGTAGTTCAATTGGTGCTTTTCTTTTTCCAGCAATATCTGGAGCTTGTTTTCAAAGTGACATGTGGGTGGTAGAGGCAAAAATTGTTTTATAAAAATTTATGGCTTTAAATTTTTCCCTGTCCAGATTTTGAGTCTGTACTGGGTAAAAGAAAAGATTGTGTGTAGGGAGTATTTTTGAGGTATTTTCTTTAGAACAACTTGTAAAGGTATCATTTGGTTATAATTCCAGATTTTATTATACTTAATTAGTTTAGATTCATGTTGACAAAATTGTAAATCAAATAGGTAAGGATTAATTCTAATTACATGTTGCACAAATCTTTATATATTGTTGGTATTCATCATATTATTGTTATTATGATAGTTATAGCCCACAAGAACAGTATATGCATTAGAAATGTTAAAGCCTTTGATTATTTTCATACATGACATGTTAGCTACTGGAAGAGAACTTATGTTACTCTTTTTTATGTTGCTAAAATCCAGCAGAATAATTATGATTTGATATTGACTAATACTTCATATTGAGTAGTTTTAACTAAGAATCAGTTTAGGGAACTGGTGTTTTTCATATATTTGTCACTGAACTTTTAGTCAATGAGGGTCATCAGATCTATGGAAGGGAGGGTAGACCAACCTTATCTTTTTTTAAAAAAATGAAAACAATATTTCAATTTTATTCTTAAGTAACCAGACTAAGTCTTCATAGGTGGAAGGAATGAAATTGATTTGCTGTGTCAGTTAGCCAATGGGAAAGGGAGAGATGACAGAGCACGGGTGGAGGCAATGGTTGGGAAAATACAATGATTTTTGGTTTATTGCTCACAGAGTTGGGATTACTAAATAAACCGGTTATAAGTATATAAATAATACTATAGGTATCATGTAGCATAGTTACATTTTAATATGTAGTGAAAGCATAATGGTTAAGAGTTCGAGCTTGAAGCCAGCTTCTCTGGGATCAAATTCCGTCTCTCCTACTTACATGCTGCACCCCATTTTCCTCATATATAAAATGAGGATACCAACAATATTTATCTCATAGGGTAGTTTCGGTCATTACATGAATACATGTGTGTAAGGTGCTTAGAACAGTGCCTGGCACATCAGTAACTGGGAGCTCCCATCCTTGTCATTATCAGCATGATGCCTTGGAAAAGGTTTGGCCTGGGGTTCAACCTGGGCGGGAGTTGCTGGGTTTTGAAGAATGAGGAGAAATTGTCCAAAGAAGAGAAAGTAAGGGTAGTCCAGAGAGAGTGAAGAGTGGGAACAATGAAGACGGAGTGCTGGGATGGGAGAGGAAAGTATCCCCAGCGTGGGGCAGATGCGAGGTCCAGGAGTGACAGCTTAGATCGGAGGAGTCTCCGACTATGTTTAATTGTGTTGCAGATCCTCCTCTGAAGAGAGGATCATGCTGGAGATACAGGCAAGTGAGGGGGTGACTGCTGAAGTTGCCAGGCCTCTCAGGATTTGGAAGGGAGAAAGGGGGCGGGGAAGAGCTCCGTGGGTGATCTTCTATGCCCATCTGCATCCACAGCTGCATCCTTAACTTAATTTCTTCTTTCCCTCCAGCATCTGACCTTTTAAATCAGGTGTGCTTCAAGCTATGCTACCTTTCTTTCTTTTTGAGGCAGGGTCTTGCTGTGTTGCCCAGGCTGGAGTGCAGTGGCACAATCACGCCTCACTGCAGCCTTGACCTCCTGGGCTCATCCTCCTGCCTCAGCCTCCTGGGTGGCTGGGATTATAGGTGCACACCACTATGCCCACCTAGTTTTTTGTATTTTTTGTAGAGATGGGGTTTCACCGTGTTACCCAGGCTGATTTAATGCCATTCTCTTGAACACTGCAATCATATCATAAATTCCTCCCCCATCTAAAAAACAAAATTCCCTAGTTTTGACCATGTGTTCCATATTCACTTTATTTTTTAGAGTCTATAACAAAAAATAACCTTTATAATTCTGTTAGATGATGTAGTGAAATGACTGTAGGTTTGTGTGTGTGTGTGTGTGTATTGCTGTTATTTGTTTTTTCTAAAAGTTGCTTGGTATTTCAGTTTGTATAGTCAGGAAAAGAAACGTTTTCATTTGGAGCAAGATATGTATCCAAGAATGACTACCAAATTGAAAAGGGTATCCTGAGCATTAACGACAGTGAAGTATTTCGGCTTTACTGCCTACATAATGGATCTGAGATAAAGTTATCAAGATGCTGCCTTTCTAGTCTCTAAATATAAATCAAAATAATTAATTTATTCTTAAATCTCAAACCAAACCCAAATGAGAAAAACAAACACTTCTGGAACATATTAAAGACAGACATTATAACTCCTAAATTCAACTTCTTATAAAACATCATCAACCACCACCAGAAAATACTGTGGTACACAATAATTTTGAAAATATTTTTTAAATTTGCCAAATTTTTCACATTTAGTTTTTAACTGTAATCTCTCAGCATAACTGGGTCATGAAAAAAATGTATTCTTTCTATATCTGCTAACATTATACCTTCTAAACTTGACCACTCCAATATTTAAAAAGCTAGAAACTGCAGAGAACTTCTGAAGAATGGCCTTTGTAACAATTCAGTGTTAATGAGTTGAAGAGTATGTCATCATCCTCTGGGTCATTATCTGCAAGAATATTGTGTATTAAACAACCACCATACCTCAGTGGCATGTAATAAGCATTTCTTTTTGCTAACAAGTCTACAGATTAACTGAACACTCCTGCTGATCTTGGCAGGCTTGATTTGGCAGTATTTCGGGTCTTGGCTGGAGTTCACTCATGTATCCGGAGTGAACACTGGTAGCTGCTGGCTAGGGGCTGATCTAGGACAACCTTGGCTAGGATGACTCAGCCCAGCTCCACGTGGTCTTGGATATTTCTGAAGCCTAGTTTAGGCTTTGTGGTAGTGGCATCGTTCCTAAAGAGAGCATGGAAGCATACAAGGCCTCTAGAGACCTGGGCTCGGAACTGGTACACAGCACTTCCATCACATTCTCTAGGTCTATACAAGTCATGAGCCCAGCCCAGTTTGAAGGGATGGGGAAACACACTCTTGACAGGAGTAGCTGCAAAAGCACATTACAAAGAGCATGGATAGAAGGTGGGATAGAGAATTGGGATCACTTTTGCAATCAGTCTACCATGTTTCCTTTCATCTTTCTCTATCTGAATTGTCTCAATTTCTGTACTGGGGCTGACTGTTTCATGGGCAATCTAGCAAGCAGGGACCTTGAGTCTCAGTACCCACTAAAATGGACAATGCAGGCACTCAGTAATGTAGAACTGTCTCTCCAAGACCAAGAGGTTCTTTGGGTATTTCTGCCTGTGGTTTGTCATTTAACTTTATCTGCTTTGTTACCAAGAAAGAACAAAAATCATATCAGAAAATTTATTTTTATGTAAAGAGAAAAACAAATCCATTACAGCTAAGTAGAATCCTCTGAAGTGTATAACAGGGGGGAAATTGAATGTTGCAGTTAAATTTTCTGTAGGTTCTGAATACCAGCAGATGTTTGAACCAAATATAATGTATTGTTCTGTTTTCAGCCCTATTTGTAAGAAACTGAGCTGTAAGATTGGGCAAAAAACTTAGAGCAAGAGCTTTGATCATCCAAATACCCTAATTGGCCATTTTTCCCTGTGCTTCTCCCTCCCCTTCCCACTGGCCATGGACCCACTGCTGTGGTAAAACATCTGTCCAGGAAGGGATGATGGTGACCCATGTGAATGTACTGGTCTCAGGATCAGTCATTCCTCGTGGTTATATGTGGGCTGTGTTGGTATGCATACCATTTAGCACAGCGCCTTACATGGGCTAGGTATTCAAGAAGATATTAATAAATTTAAGTATTGAAATGTTGATTCCCATCCTCGCTTCTGTCCTTCCTTTTCCAGAATTAAGTCAACTTACTGAAAGCAAACTGGACATGATGGATAAACAGGATTATGTGGACTTGATAGATGTCCCAGACTCCTATCAAGGTCCTCGGCTACAATTTCCTCTCACTTGTGCTGATATTGATTTACTTCTTGAGGCTTTTAAGGGAAAACAGGTAAGTGGAAGCAGATGCTGCCTTGATTTTTGTACATAACAGCTACATGGTAACTGTTGAAAGAATGGACGGGCATACTACAGCAGAAATGCATTTCTTTGGGAAAACAGTTTACATTAAGTGAGAGCTACCCTCTGTTACCCATTCAATAGAAGTCTCCTCAGGTGCCTGGCAAGCTCCTCTCTGTAGGCTTACAGCATTTCATTTGCCATTTTCTGAGATATCATTCACATACCATAAAATTTACCATTTAACAGTGGACAACTCAGTGATTTTTTCATGCATTCACAAAATTGTGCAACCATCACCAATGTCTAATTTCAGAACATTTTCATCACCCCCAATAGAAAGGCCACTCCTATTATCATCTCCTCCTCCCCACCCCTGGCAACCACTATTCTACTTTCTGTCTCTATGGGTTTGCCTACTCTAGCTTTTTCATCTAAATGAAATCATCTAATCTGCGGCCTTTTGTATTTGGCTTCTTTCACTTAACTTAGTGTTTTAAAGGTTCATTCATGTCATAGCATGTATCATTACTTAATTTCTTTTTCTGGCTGATAATATTCCATTGTATACCACATTTTGTTTATCCATTTATCAGTGAATAGACATTCAGATTGTTTCCACCTTTTGGCTATTTTGAATAATGCTGCTATGAATGTTCATGTGCAAATTTTCATGTAAATATGTGTCCTCAGTTCTCTTAGGTATATACCTAGGAATATTTCACTGGGTCTATGGTAACTCTATGCTGGATTGTGTGGTAACTGTATGTTTAAATTTTCCAGTAATTGCTAAACTGCTTCCCACAGTAGTGGTACCATTTTGCATTTCTACCAGCAATGTATGAAGGTTCTAATTTCTTCATATTTTTGCCATCACTTGTTATTTTGTTTGTATTTTTATTTTTATTATGGCCATCCTAGTGTGTGTGACATGGTATTTCATTGTTGTTTTGATTTGCATTTCCCTAATGACTAATGATGCTGAGCATCTTTTAGTGTATTTATTGGCCATTTGTATACCTTCTTTGTAGAAATGTCTGTGCAGATTCTTTGCCCATTTAAAATCAGGCTGTCTTTTTTTTTTTTTTTTTTTTT